CAGAAAAAAAAAAAAAAAAATCATTTTTACATGATAAAACAAAGAGGGGTGCAAATAATTACCAGAATTTCGACTTGGCTCGGACCTCATTGGTAGCCCATAGCTTCATCCGGTAGATCTTGGGGTGCTCGTCGGCCTCCGTCGGCAAAGCTCTTCCGACCACCTGGTACTGGTGAAACTGAACACCGTCGACAGAGACATAAGATCAATCATCAACTCTATGATCATAATGCATACACATAAATGGAAGTCGTGAAATTGTAACGAGGGATGGGATTGTTTACCTTGTAAGTCACCATTTTCGACACTTCTTCAGCTGCTGCTGAGCTTCCTCTCCGTTGTTGAGGCGTTCCTAGGGTTTTGTTTATGTTATTTGGGAAGGCATGTAATAAAGCCCTAGCCTATGAATTCTTTTCTGGGCTAGTTTAGAAGTTTGGGCTGATTCTATATTTGGGCCGAAGTTAAGTGATTCTTTCTGGGCTTAATGCATCTCGATATTATTGGCCTGGTAATTAGCTGTTAGCTGATTGTATTAGCTGTTTTGACTAGCGGATTAAATTTGCTGTTTTGATCATATGATTGTGTTAGCGGTTTGTGAAAAAATATTTGGTAAATTAGTTGTTAACATATAAAATTACTAATAAGGACATACTCATAATTTATCCTTCTTATTTATGTTGAACTTATAATAATTTAAAAAATAAAAATAATTAATATTTTAAATATTTATTAAATTGATTTAAAGTATAGGAAAAATATAAATAATAATACAATGAAAATATTTCTTAATCGATAAAATAAGATTGCATCATATAAACAAAATTAATAACGAGTCATTACTATTTAAAAAATCTAAATATGACTCAATTAGAATATATGTCATTACAACTGAAAAAAAAAACAAATTAACTAATATTTACAGTAACAATTTCCAAAAGTTCTCTCGTCATCTAAGTAACTAAATACCTCATTTATTAGAATTTTCTTTCCACTTTTACTTTATTAGATTTCTCTAATTGTTTGGCTGTTTCAAATTTTTTTTTTTTCACTAGAATTTTCAAATTATTTAGAGATTTATGCAACTTTGAAACTTTTTTGACTAGATTTCTCAAATTGTTTGAATGTTTCTACAAACTTTGTCAATTGTTTTAGGGGATTATGTGATGAACTATGATATATGATAGTGTATCTATGCCTATATTTTAAAATTTAGTTGGTAAAAAGTATTAGTTGGAATGAAAATTATATAGTTAAATATATCTCTTACATTATATCAAAAACTAAATAATATTTACATGGGTTTGGAAAAAAAAAATATCACGATTTTGATTACTTTTTTCCCAAAATTTTGAGACTAAATATTATTTATATGGGTTTGAATAAAAAAATATCACCATTTTGATTATATTTTTTTTCCTGAAATTTGTGAGATGCATAGAGAGTTGTTCATTTAATTGCTCTTGTATTAATGAGGAGTGGGGCAATTAAGACTTTAATTTTATATCTGGAACCGCTAAGCCAAACGCTGCAAAAAGCAGCATTTTTCATTTTGGCGGATTGGGCCCAAAAACCTGGTTACAACAGCTATTTACCAAACAGTGTTTTTAACTGATTGTGTATGGTCAAACAGCTAAATGGTTGAAAAAGCTATTTTAAAGCCAAAACGCCAATAAACAAACACAGCCATTATAGTTCTTCGTTTGAAAATAGTTTAATTAAAGTTATACAATTGAAATGAAAATCTAGGTGAATATTACAATATGTTTGAATTTTCAATTGGAATATGTACAAAATTGGTGCAGAGATATGTATTATTTCCATACACGCACTAACTTTGACTTCTTGCTCTCAGCCAACATCAATTTTCAGAACCCAATACATTGATTTAGTTCGATGCAAAAACTCACCTAACAACATGATCGAACCACATCGAAGTGCATGTTTGGCTCGGTTTTGTTTTTGTCTCGATTTTTCTATTATTTTTATTTAATTTGTTGCAGTTTGGTGCAAAATCGAAATAAATTAATCGACAAAATAAAATATACAAAACCGAATATGTGAAAAATAGTAATCAAATTGCACCGCAGTTTAAGAAAAAAAATTCCACACTAATCGAATTGCAGGGTTCGACTCAATTTTTCAGTTTCGGTTTGGTTTTGTTCACCTCTATTCGAGAGATTGTGATTATTATTTATCTTATTGATAGTATATATATATATAATCTGAAAAGATTGTCATTTGGAAAAAGAAATTAGATCCCTAATTTGAATGAAAAGTGTCACCCAACTGTGGTCATTGGGGAACTAATTAGCCCTAGCAAAATGCTGGAGAGTGACATTGGTGTAGATTATTATTATTTTTTTTATTATTATTAGCATAGGTATCTTGAAAAATAAGTTAGAAATTAAATAATATTATAAAAAATTTTGTCTTATTGGGCAAGTTAGGAATAGGGTTTAAGAGTCTTATTTAAAAGACTAATTATCTATTTTTTTAAGTAATTTTATGAATAAAGATGAATTGGTATAGTATTTTGGTGTTATTGAGATTGCCCACTCGTACGCTTCTCTACGAAAGCAGAATATGGACCGGAACAGACAAAAAAATAATTAAATAAAAAATATGACAACTAATTAAGAGCAACCGTACACATGAAGAGAAAAAATAAAAAATAAAAACCCTTTCCAAGTTTCCAACAATGTAGCTATAGAATAGCTTACCAAATGACAACACATGCACAAAATGCAATAATCTCTCAATAAATTAACCACATTTCAAGTACAAAGTACAAACCCTTTTCGCCAACACTTCCTCTTAATTCTCGGGCTCGAAAGCCGAGATAGGGTACGATCGTGAAATCCCGAGCGGCGTGGTGAACTTGACCATGTCGGGCTCGGGCTCCCCTACAAGGATATCGTTGACCACGACAGGCAAGAGTATCTCCTTGGCTTTGACCCCGGTCAACTTGTACATGTGTCGCTTTTTGAACGAGGCCGTGATCTCCAAACCATAAATCACGGTGCTCCCGATCTTCTTGAACTTGGTATCGGTTTTCTTTTTCAGCTTCAACCAAACGAAACTCGAGCTTCGGTTGATCCCGATTTCCTCAATCTCGTCTAGCGGCAACAAGTCCTTCGGCATCATGACCTCGTCTAGGAATTCGAGCGTTTTGGCCTTACACGAGCCGCCTTTGTGGATCTCGGCCCCAGTTTTGTGGGTCTCGACTAGTTTTGCGCTCGCCATGTTTTATTTTTTAGTTTTAATTTTTTTTTTTTTGGTGGAGATCTTTGTGAGAAATATGCAGAGATGGGGTGTGTGTAATTGTGGAGAAATTGGGTTTATATAAAATGGAGTTGGATTTGTTTAGTTTTCTTGAGTCCTATATATTGAATTGGTGCACATTTTTGTTAATTATCAACGCTTGTTGTTGTTGAGATCCGGTAGATATGGCATGCATTTTGTTATTGCTAATAGTAATATAATATTACATGTGTGGCACGGTTTTGCAATTAATATAGAAATTGTACTTTGGTTCATTAATCATTACATAGGTTTTGAAAAAAAAAAAATTAAAATTGAATTGGTTAGGTGGGTATGTAGCGTTGAAGCATAAAAAATTGGTGGGCTGGTATTTTTAAAAAATTAGTGCTATTAATTAAATAAACAATGTTCAATTAGCATATTAAAAAAAGGTAATATTCAATTAGCAACCATATATGTTAATTAAGCAAAACGAGTGGTTGCGTTAAGGGTCGACTTCAGCTCAATTCGGCTTCTTTCGTAAAAAAAGTTGAGCCGAACTCGAGCTCGTTAGTTAATGAGCTGAGTTTGGCTTGATTTGTTAATACTGAAGAAAAACTAGGTGATGTACACTTTTAAATTTTAAATTAGTTCACTCGTTAAGACTCATGATTGACGACTTAATTGTGTAAACGAGCAAAACTCGATTAGCTAACGAGCTGAGCCACAAGCTCGAGTATTTCAAATTTAGAGGTGATTAGTTACATCTCTATTAGCAAGTATATTAACTTCTTAAAAATACAAAATCAACTCCTTATTGTACCCTCATCTACCCTACTTCCAATGTCTACTTTGATTTATAGAGCAAGTACAAATGAATAATATTTTTAAACACAAACCAAGCTAACAAACAAGATGAGCTATCATTTTATTTTTATTTTTTCGGACAAAAATGATGTTATAAAAGTAGAATATTCTTTAATAAATAACAAGTAACAAACTAATACAACACCCGTGTAAGGTGCTTGTCAAAAAATTATTCTTAAATTTTAAAATTAATGAGAAAATTATATTAAATTTAGTTTACTTTTTTACGAAAAAAATATATTACTGTATATTTTAGAATGATATGTGTTACTTATGACTTACATGTTTTATATTATATTAGTTTTTATAACTTATATCATATAACTACTTGAAATATAAATATATTAGTTGATAAATAATTTTATTTTTCTAATTAATATTAAAAATAATTTTATTATTGTTATAAAGATAAATATAAATTATTGTTTTATACATACAATATGGATGTTAAATCGAAACTCATCAAAAGAAGATTAATTTGATATATTACATATGTAAAACTCATAAAAATACAAAAGTTATTAACTTTTAAAATATATATACAATTCAATAGTTATAATAAGGAATGGTATTAAAATGCAATTAATACATGTAACATGACCATCAATAATCAACATATTTATGGTATTCCGAACCTAATTATTTTTTTTAGAATTAAATTAAAATTTACCCAAACCTTATAACGAAGCATGTAATTTTGCCACATATGATTCCGAAGCACCAGAAGCAACCACGTAGGCTCAGCGCGTTCTGGATTAATATATAGGGGGGATATAAGGGGATAAGAGTATATAATAATTTGGTGAACAAATAGTCAAATACACATGTTCATTCTGACTTGGTAATAGAGATATGAGAGCTCTTAAGTCGAGATTGACAGGTGAAGATCTCTCACGTCTTTCGTGAGGCGAACTTTGCTGCGGACTACCTGGCGTCTTATGCGGCTTCGGTCTCTCTCGAGTGCCATCGGCTTCCAGACCCACCTTCCGGGGTTGTTCCGCTTGAGCATGATGTTAAAGGTGTCTCTTGCCCACAGAACGTTTGTCTCTAGTAGCTCGTGAATAATTATATCTCTTTGTACAAAAAAAAAAGTCCCATTCCCAAACAGTTCGGGGCGGGCCATCCTGAGCGTGGGCCCAGAGTTCGGCCCGGCCCGTTTATGGTTGTGCCTGAATCCAATTGCCACCTGCTCAAAAACTTGTACATCAAACATGTCGACCTTCAGTTTTGGCTGCATTTGGTCCCTAAAAAATGCAAAGGGCAGCTGTTCTCTTGGGTTAAAGGCCTCCAATTCATTGAAAGCAAGCAAGAAAATAGATTGGTGGCCCAAATGTGCTTCCTCAAGATTAGTGCACTATGGCGCATCTGAAATTATACTCAATAGTGTGAAATTTGTTGTGAAATATTTATAAAATTGTTATCATCCGGATCGGTAAACCTGCATCAAGAGATTCCAACTGACACATTAAAAGGCAGATAGTCATTGAACCGACGTAATTTCAAGTACCACCCCGGTTCAGGCAACAAACCGGACCGAACTACCGAAGACCGAAGTGGTCAACGTCTACCGAGGTCAACATGGAACCGAGATCGTCACCTCCTTAAGCAGGTGACAAGGTGCCTACGAACAACCCTCCTGCTCCACAAGATCCGTCATCATTTATGTGGGACCCCCTGCCTCAAACCGCCCACAAAAAGTACCTTTATTCGAAAAAGTAATGCACAGATCCCAATGTATCAACCCGAAATTACTATAAATAGCGGGCCCATGACATTTGTACGGGGATCTCTCTCCCCGAACTGAAAAAACTTCACTAAGCAACACGTAAAAGCCCATCACGGCTCTTCACCTCGGACCGAGGCCATTGTCGATTTAATCCTACATGCTTTACGTCCAAATCATTCAAAATTATCCACTTGATCACAAGTTACATCATTGTTAAAAATCACATAACAACAGTTTGGCGCTAGAAGGAGGGCCTCATAAGTGATTTGAGGTTAATCTCTGCGTTTTCACGTAACGGTGCATATCAGCCATATCCACCATGTCTCACTCAGATCATCGTGGTCACACGTCACGAGACGGCCACAGTCGTAGCGCCGGGCAATCCGCTAGACGACAAGCCATGGCTCCACCTACACCGGATTATGCTGTTCTGTTTCAAAATCCGGAATTTGCACGTGGTTTTGCCGCTTTAATGGCCCAAACGATGCCGGGAACATCAACAACGGCTCCGGGACACTCCATCATTCCCACGACCCCCGCGAACCGACAGAATCTACCGGCACGACAAGACGGCGGAAGGACAACATCTCATGCAACATCTCAACCTCGTGATCGAATGTCACAACCGCCTCCGGAACAAAATACACGACGCACTGACGCCGGGCATAATCCTCCCATACTTCCCCAAGAGGAAACTGCCGAAAGTCAGTCGGGTCATTTACGACGGACACCGCCTCGTGAGCAGCACCGACATCCTTCCAATCCGGCGCAAACCGACCTCCGACAGCATATTGAACGGAATCGGGCTCGCCAAGAGTCGTCCGAACTCGAAACACTACGACGACGAATAGCCGAATTGGAAAGTCGGCAACGGGCACCTGAGGATCCACCTCGGCGGGCCTCTACCTCGGCTCAGGTGTATTTGGAAGCCGATTCTCCCCTCACTCCGGAACTTACTTCGGAACCAGTTCCTGGAAAAGTCAAGGTTCCCCAAATCGGGCTATATGATGGAACATCCGACCCGGACTCACACCTCGGTCATTACACCTCATGGATGGACCTGCATGGAGCGTCATATGCACTTCGGTGTCGCATGTTTTCACTAACATTGGGGCCTCGGGCCCAAAAATGGTACCATTCGCTTCCCCCTCACTCGATTTGGAAATGGCAACAATTGAGGTCGGCTTTCCGATCTCATTTTATCGGGGCCCAAGCTTATCCCGAAAGAGTCTCTTGCCAACATCACTCAAAAAGATGATGAAAGCGTTAAAGATTATATCGCCCGTTTCAACGACCGAGTCCAGAATATGGAACCCTGTCATCCCGAAACTTTGCTTGTCATGGCCATTGCTGGGTTGAAGCCAAACTCGATTTTCCGCTGGACGTTATGCCAAAATAAACCGAATACTTTTCAAGAATTTCTTGCTCGAGCCCAACAGCATATCATAGCGGAAGAAGCCATGTCGGTTCCCGATTTCAATTTTAACCAAAAATCCTCTAAGGTGGGAACCGACGAAAAGAGGAAGAATAAATTTTTTGACAAGCAAAATAAGACTCAATTCAGGGGGCCTCCCCGAGGAGACCCCAACGATCCCGAAGTCCGAGCGGCCCGAAAACAATACGCGACCGACGTGAAGTCCGGTTATCAGACTGTGTACTCGGCGGGAGCAGCTGCCATTTATGAAGAAATCAAAGGGAAGGGCATTTTGCCAGATCCCAAGCCACTTCGGGCGCCTGAAGAAAAGCTGGACAAGTCCCGATATTGCGATTACCACAAGTCGCCCGGGCACAACACGGATGAGTGTTTGAGTTTGTTGGCCGCATTGTTGCGTTTAATCGGCCATCCGCAGCTTAGGAAATTTTATCGTAATGCTGATTCCCAGAGGCGAGGTCCTGGACGTCAGATCGAATCCTTTGATGATGAAGATGACGAGGAAGACCGAGGTGCAATGACAAAACGCATCCGACAGGGGGATAAATAAGTATTCATGTTTACCTCGGAAACCTCCGGTTCTGCCCCTGCTGAAATTTCCCGAGGACGTAAGCGAGATAGATCTCCTGAACCAATGCAAATCACTATCCATCGGGTTAATACCAACAACTCCCGGAGTACGTTGTCCCGCCGACAGGTTAAGGCGTATGCCCGACAAGCTTACAACTCCGGTAAACAGGTTTACACCACCGATTTGAGAGATGTTCTCAACAATCGGAATTGCCCAATAACCTTCAATATGGAGGACGCGAATCACTTCGCTCATCCTCATTCTGACGCCTTGGTCATTACCGTTCCGATATGTGGTATCCCGGTTCATCGTGTCATGGTGGACACTGGGGCCTATTCAAGTATTTTGATGCTGAAAGCTTTTGACAAGATGGGTCTTGACCCCGCCGAGATCAGACCTTGCAACGA